GCCTGTAATCCCAGCACTCTGGGAGGCTGAGGCAGGCAAATCACGGGGTCAGGAGTTCGAGACCAGCTTGCCCAATAAGGTGAAACCCCATCACTACTAAAAATACAAAAATTAGCCAGGCATGGTGGTGCATGCCTGTAGTCTCAGCTACTTGGGAGGCTGAGGCAGAAGAATTGCTTGAACCCAGGAGGTGAAGGTTGTAGTGAGCTGAGATAGTGCCACTGCACTCCAGCCTGGGTGACAAAGTGAGACTCCATCTCGAAAAAAAAAAAAAAAAACACCCCACAATGAGATGCCATCTCACGCCAGTTCAGAATGGCAATTATTATTATTATTATTATTATTTTTTTTTTTTGAGACGGAGTTTCGCTCCTGTTACCCAGGCTGGAGTACAATGGCGCGATCTCGGCTCACCGCAACCTCCGCCTCCCGGGTTCAGGCAATTCTCCTGCCCCAGCCTCCTGAATCGCTGGGATTACAGGCAAGCGCCACCATGCCCAGCTGGTTTTTTGTATTTTTAGTAGAGACGGGGTTTCACCATGTTGACCAGGTTGGTCTCGATCTCTTGACCTCGTGATCCACCCGCCTCGGCCTCCCAAAGTGCTGGGATTACAGGCGTGAGCCACCGCGCCCGGCCTAATGGCAATTATTAAAACGTCAGAAAACAACAGATGCTGGAGAGGCTGTAGAGAAATAAGAACACCATTACACTGTTGGTGGGAATGTAAATTAGGTCAACCACTGTGTAAGACAGTGTGGCAATTCCTCAAGGATCTAGAACCAGAAATACCATTTGACCCAGCAACCCCATTAATGGGTATATACCTAAAGGATTATAAATCATTCTACCATAAAGACACATACATACATGTGTTTATTGCAGCACTATTTACAATAGCAAAGACTTGGAACCAACCCAAATGGTTATCAATGATAGACTGGATAAAGAAGGTATGGCACATATTCACCATGGAATACTATGAAGCCATAAAAAAGAATAAGTTCATGTCCTTTGCAGGGACGTGGATGAAGCTGGAAACCATCATTCTCAGCAAACGAACACAGGAACAGAAAAGCAAACACTATATGTTCTCACTCATACGTGGGAGTTGATCAATGTGAACACATGGACACAGGGAGGGGAACATCACACAATGGGGCCTGTCGCGGGGTGGGTGGCAAGCGGAGGGAGAGCATTAGGACAAATACCTAATACATGTGGGACTTAAAACCTAGATGATGAATTGATAGGTGCAGCAAACCCCCATGGCACATGTATACTTATGTAATAAACCTGTACGTTCTGCACATGTATACCAGAACTAAAATAAAATAAGTGGGCAAAGGGCATGCATTGACAATTCTCAAAACAAGACATACAAATAGCCAACAAGTACATGAAAAAAAAGCTCAACATCACTAATTATCAGACAAATACAAATCAAAACTACAATGAGATATCATCTTTCCCCAGTTAGAACAGCTATGATTAAAAGACAAAAAAACTAACAGATGCTGATGAGGATGTGGAGAACAGGGAACTCATACACTGTTGGTGGGAATACAAATTAGTACAACCACTGTGGAAAACATTATGATGATTTCTCAAAAAAATAGAAATAGAACCATATGATCCAGCAATTCTGCTACTGGGTATCTATCCAAAGAAAAAGAAATCAGTATAGCAAAGGGATACTTGTACTCACATGTTTATTGTGGCACTGTTCACAATAGCAAAGATATGGAATCAACCTTAGTGTCCACCAATAAACAAGTGAATTTTTAAAATGTAGTATACATACAAAATGAAACATTATTTGGCCATAAAAAAGAAAAAAAAAATCACATTATTTGTGGCAACATGGATGAAACTGGAGGACATCATGTTATGTGAAACAACCCAGACATAGAAAGACAAATATTGTATGGTCTCACTCATATATGGAAGCTAAAAAAGTCAGTCTAAAGATAGAGAGTAGAGTAATAGATACTATAGTCCTTGAAGGGTGGGTGAATACAAGGCTGGATTAAAGAGAGGTAGGTTAATGGGTACAAATGTATTGTTAGATGAAAGGTATGAGTACCATCATTTGACGGCAGAGTCAAGTGACTATATTTAACAATGATGTACTGTCGATTTCAAAGTAGCTAGAAGAGAGTTCCCAAAACATAGAAATGAGAAATCCTCAAAGTGATGGACACCTCAAATACCCTGACTCGATCATTACACATTCTATGTATGTAACAAAATACCACATAAATATGTAAAATATTATACAGTAGAATATTATAAATAAATACTATTATAATTTTTTTTAAGATTAGTTACCATTGTATAACTAGGAATAACCTAAGTTCAGGGATGATACGTTCCCTTGTCCTTTGGGATTTACTGTGAGGTATTTGCAGTGTTACCTTATCTGACTCTGGATTAACAAGTCTTTTCCAGTTTCAGATGCCATCTGGCGATTTCATTCTGAGAATGGGATAGTAATCACAAATCAATCTTAGGAAAAGAACACAGAAAGGCGGTGTGCACAGGCGTGATTTAGGGAAAGGCTGCAAGTGGGGAGTGTAACATAGAGGAGGAACATTACCACCAATTGGGTAGAAATTGAGAAATGAGTTGAAAGGGGTCACACTTCACAAATGAGATTAAATTCCCAATAAGTCATATTTTCAGGGCAAAATTGAGTAGCGTAACACATTGAATGTACCTGTCTTATCTACAACCATAATTGGACCAAGGACCCAAATTCCCACCTGCCTCCGACCCTACAATCTCATTCAGCCTTTAATTGTGTTAATACAAATTGTGTATATTTAGTACATTTTCCCTTATTGGGTAACTGTCTTGCTGATCAGGGTAGAATTTGAGTCATCAGGGAGAAAAGGACCACACAATTTCTTTTATTTTCACCCTCTCATTCTTCTTCACCACTTACTTCCTCCCTTCCTTACACATAGTAGATGCTTACCAGTTTGTTTATCAAATTGAGTCTAAGCCTTCAACCCAATACTAAATCTGATTTTTTCAAAGAAAGGGGATAACAAGCCATATCGGAAAATGTCCTGAGGTGTAATTCTTCTATATGTCTAAAGTTAAAGGGGAAGAAAAAAAAGAGGGGTGATCCTGGCTATTTCAGCAAGGTTATATGGGGTAAGGCACAATGGAAGATCTTTATATTTAAGCCATCTTTTACCCAATGCTTTTAGAATAGAACTGAACATAACAATCTGTCAGCAGCCACAGGATGACATAAAAGGATGCCCTTGACGTTCAACATTCCTAAATTCCATCTCGTACTATGAAAGCAAAGAGATCCACAATAATCTCTTCCTGGTTTGAAAACTTCCAGGGACTGCTCATGTTACAAGCCAGTAACTTCATCCAACCTAAGATGCTCCTTTAATCACTAAGAATTTTTAAAGGCCAAAAAAAGATCTCTAGATCTTTAGAATTGTTACGATCTTTTTCAACTGGTTGATGTCAACCAGTGCTCAGTTATTTTCCCTAACTATTTCTGCATCTAGTGTCTTCCCCCAAATATTGACCCAACAAATAGTCTACTGGGCATCCCTTGAAGAGTCCATGTGAGCTGGCTTAAAAAATAATAATAAAGAACTTTATTTCCTAAACCATTTCATACATAATGATACTGCTATTACCATTGTTCTACTCCGTTCACACTAAGCAGAAAATAGTGGAAATAGATATATAATTTCAGGTTCTTTGCAGTGTTCATTAATCTTTGAACAATCTTTGAGTATGTAATCAAAAACAGAACAGTGATCCAATTACATAACCTTGGTAAAGATTTTAGGCTTCTTGTATCATCTGAGCCAGTCTAATAATCCTCTGCTTAAATTAAGTACAAAGGCATGACAAATACAGTCTCAATTCTGTATTGTTTTAAACGAAACTTATGTATTGGACAGTCATTTAAGCCCAATGCTTAAATACATAATACTAAATGACCCCATCCAAATGACGGAGACATGAGGCCATCACTTAAGCAGGTACTGAGTAGCTGAGTTGTCATGGAAGACCCATCAGAATGCTGTTCAACTTAAAATCGGCTATTACACTCAGCCAAGTCAGAGTTTTATTTTGATCAAGGCATTTAATTATTAATACTCCTATTTTTATTTTTCACAAAAGAATAATGTTTTCCCATTTTCACTGGGATGGAGTTCACATATCTCAATCACGTCACAAAGTGGGAAAGATTTAAGGTTCTTTATAGGCATTTTTTCAGCTGATGCATGTGGGAAAAGAGTGTGGGCCTCCCAAAAGAGCAAAAGATGGGGCCCTATCATGACAGAATGTTGGGAGCCTCCTTCGCATCTGGCAGCAGCATACCCAGCTCTTCCATGAAGCAGCTCAGAACAGACAGAAAATTCAGTCCTGACTGTAATCCAGCACCAGTCAATGGCTCACTGAAAAACCCTCATGTTTGTGAGAGAGAATCTGAAGGACTTAATTAGTCCTTCCTCTACAGTCCCAACACTGCACCTGTGTTAAGAAGGCAAAGGAAGGAACGTTCGATTTGGTCTTGAGAAGAAACATCTTTATGAGGATGTGGCTGGATGTTACACACTCATCCTTTCTTTCCTCAAGGTCAAGGCTAGCGTAGTCCATTTAGTCAGTCACAAATCACTGCAAAAATGCACCATGAGAATGTTGTCCACAGCGTTGGCCAATGTCTCTTTCATAAGGTCCCACACAATAAACTCTTCAAGTATCCAAACTCAGAGAAAATAAACAAAACATGGTAACTTGAGTGTTTCCCATTTTTCCTTACCTGTCATGAAATTCAGCTAAATTCAGTATCTAATCAGTGCTTTTAAGATCATCTGTAATGCCTACTCATTTGCCTCCTTCTTTCCTTTAATGACATGTTCAATCCTGTAAGATGTTTCAAATCATGTTCTAGAGACATGATAGACGGTATATGCCACTCTTGAGTAAAAGTCTGTTTCCCAGGGAACAACCTTACCTGCATATGAGTCTATTTTTCACCAAGGCGGTAAAGATCTCTTGAAATAGCTTATGCTGGGGATGTTTGCTGAAATTTCTCTCATTCTTGTAGTTTATACTGAGACAAAACAAACAGAAAAGGATTTTGTAATAAAGATCAGGCTGTCTCAAAGTTGCCAGTGCAGACAAAGATCATCTATATTCAGATAATTTTTTTTATTATTACTAACCACTATACTAATGAGGATTCAGACAAATATTGAAGGAGGCTTACGTTTGACATGTTGCTAAAAACAGCTGTCAGCTGTTAAAATAGGAACTAAAAATTAAATTATAAAGTTAAAAATAAACTATTGTCAAGCATATGTATTTCCTTTTACCATACTCATTAAATTATTCCCTAAAAACACTTAACAGCTAAAGTTGCTTAGAGGGAAGAAAGGGGTAAATGGAAAAAAATAATGATTGGGGCACATTATTTAGACAGCTGTGTAACAGGAAGAGAAGAATTCCCTCTCTTCACTTTTCCACTTACCCTCCACCCCACTGGCTGGTCTAGGTACCAACACCAGTGGTCATCATATATAATTCCTTCTAGATAAGGGGAGTTGATTAAACACAGTTTATACTCCTTCAGCCATGTTGACTATCACTGTTGATTGTTTACATGGTTTTTGTGTGTGCATTTAACAAAATTCTGAGATATTGCAGCTTCAGTTTCTTTTTGCTGATATTACAGCCCACCAAAGAGGTTAAAAATGCCTCCCTAACATTCCCTTTTAAAATTGGAAAAGGATAAGAGATAATGAACAAAGGGGTCACATTGCTACTGAATACATGATATATTTTTACACATAGTTAAATAAAACTAACGTTAAGATCTAGGACAAATAAACTGGAATTCCATGAACATACAACCTCAAAGGAAAGGTGTATAACCTTATGTTGCCATGTGTAATATTCTGCCTTCCTAGTCTTTCAGATGCCATTAGACAGCATGTCCCCATCCTAGTCACCCGAGGGCTGTAACAGTTCCTTTAATCCATGGGCACTGGTACTCACTATAGGACAATTTTTTAAGTATTTAAGTGTTCCTCACTAAAAAAATATTTTTAAAATATGAACCCAGGAAATGTCATGTAACTTTCCTGTACTATTAAATTCATTGTCTTAAGATGACAGGGAAACAAAAATCAAATCTAGGCCAAATAAACAAATGATCCTTCTAGAATGTTCTCATTGATATTTCACGCCACTCATTATTTACATGGCACTTAGTGCCAAATGACCCAAGCACATTGTAAAACTGAGAGAACCAGCTCCCGAGAGGGGAGTGACCCACAAGAATGTGCAGCTTTGCAGAGGTCTACGTGGCAGCAGAGATGAACATTACCTGTACTCTCAGTGTCAGAGGTGTGCTGCAACCCCTTCAACTGAAAACCTCAGTTGTTTTGACAAACACATACTTTAACCACCACATCTTGTCACAGCAACGGCTCCTTTTATGCCGTCTCATTACTGGCAAGATCTAGACAGACAAAGACTGGGATCAGCCTTACCAGGTCAATAATCTGGAACCACTTCCTCATTGAGTAAATGCCAAATGCATGTCAGCACAGTGTTCTAAATCTCCCAGGTCAGTTCCATCTGTACCCATTAAGCCTGCTATTTACATATTATTTCTGGGAATGGTTTAAGCACTAACAATATTAAATTAAGAATTTCTATGGTAAATATTGAAGCAGATTTTAAATTTCAGCTCCTAGGATAAACTTAAATAAAACTGCGAGCTAAGTAGAATAAGTAGCTGAAGATGAAGGGGATGCTGGATTTCTTACCTAAAATTTTCAAGCTCAACAGCTTCTGTGGACTCATGCCAAGGACCTCGAGCTCTGTGTCCACCCGCCCTGATGGTGAGCTCAGACTTCGTCATGCTATTTTGGGCACTATCGAAGTTAATGGCTGGAAGCTACAGAAATAGAAGCATAGAGTACATGAGGATAACAATGCAGCACAGGATAAAGAACGTAACAAAATAGGGGAGGATGATGAGAATGAGTGTTTTTCTAGGCCAATAATTAAGATTACAACTCTGTCAAATGTAAGGGTTTTCCAAGGTTCAAATCAAATATCTTTGACTTAAACATTGACCTTACACTGTATTATTTTTCTTCATAGTCTGTAATACCACTTGTATCTGACAGGTATTTATGTACTTTTAGTCTCCCTTCATTATCATGTCACCTCAACACAAACAGGAACTTGCCTGTTTTTGTTCAATGGCATTACCCCAACACCTAAAACAGATATAGGTCTGGGGTGACACCTGGGCATCAGGAGGTTTTGAAGTTTCTCATGTGATTCAAATGTGCAAGCTGACTAGAGAGCACCCGGATCCTGGTGGAACACCCTAATATAGAGCAGAGTGCCCAAACTGAGAATGCATCATCATGCGTTCATTCATTCTTCATTATTTACCAGGTGTGCACACTACTTTCCAGGTGTTAGGGATATATCAATCAAGAAGATTCTATCACTTCTAATCAGTCTGAACATCCTGATAACTCAATCATATTTGTAAAAGACATTAAAATAATCAAATTCACCGTAAGAAAAAAATTAACTACAGCCATTTGACTATACTTCCACTTGCAATTATAAATTGTCAGATTATCATTATCACATAGTTCACTTACCAATATTTGTCTATAATTGGGATAACCCTGAGATTCGTTTCTGATACTACAATAAAGTTGAGCATGGTATAAACAAATATCCTATTTTTTCCAAAGTGCAAATGAAAGATGTTCTATAATTAGCTAAATTATTAAGATGAGGTAAGCAGAGTATAACAAAAAGATCATTTTTCAGTAAATCATTCCATTCTACATATTACCAAACAAAGTTATAATACGTTGCACTTGTCTTATTTCATTGAAGTATTTAATGTAAATCAGTATAAAGACATCATTTCCTTATTAAAAGAGACTATGCCTCACTTCTTATAAGGTCGTCAGCTTACAGAAAAATGGATGATAATAAACACATTGTTTAAGAGTTAACCAAAAAAACTGGAATCCTTTTTTATCATATGCCAGCCACAGTCAAATTTTCAAAATAGTAACAATAAATCTTCCATCCTATCTCAGTTCAGTCAGCCAATCTACAACAACCAAAAGACAATAAGCTGAGTGAGCAATGCTTAGTGGTTAAGAGAACAAATTCCTTTGTCAGATTTTATGCATTTAAATCTACAATTAACTAGCTGCATAACCTTAGAAAATTTACTCAATCTCTCTGTACATCGGCTTCTGTATCATTAAAATGGAAATAATAATAGTATATAACTCAAGAGTTATTATGAAAATGGTATGGATTACTATTTATAAAACACTGGCTATGTGCCAAGCAGACTTCTAATTGCTTTGTACATGCTCTTTTAATCCTCCTATTCCCATTATGCAGATGAATTTTGCTAAGTGAATAAAATTACCCATTAGGTGATTTCTGAATATGAACTGTTAACCCAAATGATATCTAACATGATGTAACAGCACAAGCAAATTGTCTTGTGTTATACCCAAAATATTATGATACATGGCAAAAAGAAGCAGGTTTTCCAGAACCAAGAGATTCCAAACCCCCTTGCCATTAGCACAACTCCCAGGAAAGTTTGCAAGAGACAAATAGGCCAGCACAGAGAAAGCAAGCCCAGGTAATTCCAAGGGAGGAGTGGAAAGCTGCTGCAGCCTGCAGCCGTTGACTTTGCAGGCAGAGCAGGCAGCCAGTATTGGAAATCACCTCCTGGAAAGTGGGTGGATAAGATGGATTTGGCATCGATAGGTGCAAAGACCAGAAACGGAATAGTAGTCACTTTGAAACAGGTAGCACTTCATATGAAAGAAATGTACGTTAGGAATCCAGTTCAAAACCTATAGGCTTGTCTCTTGGGTTCCCAATTTATCTGTCTTCTGTGTGTCTGATCTCTCCACACTTGGGCATCTGCAGCCTGTTACTCCTGATCCTGAGTCAGGGTGTGACTTAACCTCCTGGTAAGTACGTGCCTAAGCGTTCCTGGATAGAGCTGTTGACTCCTTCCCTGGTGGCAACACCATGCTCACCTCTCTTTCAAAACTTATCTCAGTCTAGTATAACGTAAGCTTACGCAACACTTACGCAACATCTTTTTTCCTTGAATTTAGCCACCCTGAGGGCAGCATCACATCTCACAATCTTTGTGTTCTTAGCACCTCTCACAGAGCTGGGCAGATCATACGTATTCAAATGTGAAGTTGTGGAATGAAGGCTCACTTTGTTCCCAGTCTCTTTGCCAAACTAATTCAACTGCTAAACCGCCTCCGAGTAAGTGCATTCATTAATTCAGTGTATTTGTTGCAGACATCTCACATACGAGACGTTGTGTGAGACACTGTATACATACATATATATATAAATACATATATATTAAGCAGAACAGTCATGGCCTCTGCCTTCAAGGAGTTTACAGTCCCATGGGTCATGGGAGGGGGCTGCAGTCAGTAAACAAGCATGAGAAACATGATGCAGAATTAGCCAACAGGGGTTTGTTGTGGTAGGAAGTAAAGGGGAGAGAGGGCGGGCCATGGACCAGATGTCGAGGATGTCGTGTCACTTCTGCTTACAAACTTCAGCATTCTCTGTTGCTTATGCAATCAGATCCAAAATTCATAGATAGGCCTTCAGACATTTCACAGTGACTTCCAGCTTTATTTATTGAATAGAATTGTCTAGTCAACCATTTTGTTTAAATGCTTGTCATTTGCCTTCCTTCAGATATCTCATTATTTTACCCACTTCACCTAGAATGCCCTCTGCATCAATTCCACTGATGGAAAACTAGACTATTTTTTAAGAACCACCTCTTTCCTCATCATTCAAGCTAAAATTGGCCTCCTATTCCTCAAAAGCTATATACTCCCCGCATGCACTATTCAACAGGATGCTGTCTTGTCCCATGGCATAATTATCTGTGCCTACCTCTGCTCTCCCCAAACACAAGAACCACCACCACGCCTTATGTTTTCTTTCTACAGCATCTATCAAAACCTCATTTATTTCAAGACACTTAATAAGCCCATAATAAATTAATGTTTTTCTTCCTCTTTTTTTTAAATTGCAAATAAATTCCTTAGCTTCCTATGGCTCTAAATGTGATGGAACAATCTGAATTCCAGGTCTAGGCAGGTTGCTTCAAGATCTGTGAATACCTCTGGTGACATTTCCAATGAGCTTTGTAGTTTCACTTTGTCTCAACAATCCTGGGGCAGTTCTTTTTCTTGAATTAATGGGTTTTCCTGGATTATAATTATTTTAACTCTGCTTATCTTGAAGGAGGCCTTTCTGCCTCTGTGTGTCTCTGTCTCGACATGCAGAGATACACAGAGTGTAGGTCAGGACTAAGAACAAAAGAAGAACACTGGAACACAATGGAACAATGCGGGAAGGAGCCTGGCTCTTTAGAGATTCGGAGGAAGGGTATTCAGTTCTCTGTACTCCCCACCTACACCTGCAAGGTAGATTTCCTCTGTAACCCATATTTGGCCAGCCTGGTTTATTTGCAAAAAACAGACTACAACTTGTGAGGGCAGAAAATGCAGCTGAGTGGGCCTTAATCACAGGTTTCACTTTTCAAATTGAGTACCGAAAATCTCGGAGCCAAATATGTTGCCCGTGTGTAAATTTTGTTGAGCATTTCCACTTCACCCCAACTCTATGTTGCTCCAACCGTTTTTCTCTTATTTTGGGCCCTGAATTTAATTTGTGACAACCCATCATACTTTCTCTCTATAAGCTCCTAATCACTTTTTCTGTAACAAGCAAAGTATAAATAAGTATAACTTGAGTTATTTTCTCCAATATCTTCCTTCCCCTATAAATGTCTCCACGTTATTTTACCAAAAGGAGAATAGGGTAACATTTCTTATTTCAAAATTACAAATACATGAAACTTATAAACACAATTAGGCATTAATTTTGTAAACTTCAGGATCTGCATTTAATTGACAGTATTTTTACCATTTTAGCACCATCTACTTTCTAAATAACTCACACATTACAAATACCCATTTTTGCACATGTGAAAGATTTTACAAAAATATATGCCATGTAAAGTTGTCCCACAACAATTTGCAAATTTGAAAAATGGTTAAAGGGGTAAAAAAAAAAAAAATCACTAAATTAATTATGTCTGCCAGGTGTTATCAAGCAAGTAGTGTGGAAAGGGGACCCAACAGATCTAGTTAGCATAAACTTCAAAGTTGGAAAATTAGAGCCAGAGAAACCACACTGGGTTTTTTGTTTGGTTGGTTGGTTTTTGGTTTTTGAGGGTTTTTTGCCCTGGCCAGGAAGTTATACATATTCCTGTGGTGACCCAGTTCTCAAGTCACAATTCAATTTAGCAAAAACTGGCCAAGAACTCATCAAATGTAGTGAACCAGAGGCAAATGTCAACGTTGCTGACATGAGGAAATACAGGATCTTGTCAGGAAATAAGACATGTAAACTAGTTTCCAAAGCACAGGAGAAAATAACGCTACAGCAGTAAAAGAAGGACTCTTGGGAAGACAGAGTTCACTTCTAGAATGGAAGATAGAGGAAGGTAGTATCAATAGAGTTGCGTCTTGGAAATGGGCGAGATTTTATAAGAAAGAAATTTAGGAGACAGAAATAGTAAAAGCAGAAAGTAGAAGTCTTTGATATGAAGGTTGCACCATAGGATGTACACTGGAAAAGAATGGGCACTACATTCAAAACTGCATGCTGAGCCATCCTGCTTGCCTCTTTAAGAAAGGACAGACTTAATTTCACACGTCATTTAAAACGTATCTCAGTAGTTAGAAGCATACACTGCAAAGATGGGGTGTCTGGGCTCACAACTAGCCTTCACCAATTAGGAAGCTGTATGATCTTGGGAAAGTCACTTAATTTCTTTGTGCCTGTTTCCTCATCTGTAAAAGTGGGAGTTATAATCATTAAGCAGGGTAATGCAGGTAAAGTGCAGGGCGCATAGAAAGTGTTTCCTGTATCATTATTTGACTTTTATGTGCCATCAAATCATTGTCCAGTATAAGCAGATAAAAATGCCATAGTTCTCTGGTAAATGCAGTTGCTATACCAAAAACCATCAGGGCTGGATTACCAAACACAAGAGCTGTTAAACAAATTCACGTAAGCAAGAACAATGTAGACTTTAGAGACAGACTACCAGGGTTCAGATCTCATCCCTGCCATTTACTAGTTAAGGTGCTAAATAAGTGTCTGCTATTTTCATTATTATTAGCATTGCTGTGTTGTTCCCCAAGCCCCCCTCAAAGTTGCTGGACTCTAATGTCATGACTTTCCAAAGTCTCACAGACGAAAAATCAAGATGAAAAGTTTGGAGATAAATTCAAACAGAAGTACCATTCTTTCTCTGTTTAATAAAAACATTAAAATGCGGCGGGGCACAGTGGCTCACACCTGTAATCCCAGCACTTTGCGAGGGAGAGGCGAGTGGATCACGAGGTCAAGAGATCGAGACCATCCTGACCAACATGGTGAAACCCCGTCTCTACTAAAAACTACAAAAATTAGCTGGGCGTGGTGGTGCGTGCCCGTAGTCCCAGCTACTCGGGAGGCCGAGGCAGGAGAATTGCTTGAACCCAGGAGGCAGAGATTGCAGCAAGCAGGGGTTGTGCCACTGCACTCCAGCCTGCCGCCTGGCGACAGAGTGAGACTCTGTCCCAAAAAAATAAAATAAAAACATTAAAATGCTACTATAAAAATAGCCAAAACTCACTCCTTGCCACTCTTTTTGGCGAGGTACATTGTGTAGCAAGCCTCAAGAGTGGTACTTAGCAAGGGAGCAGGAGTGGGAAGAGTGAAGGGGGAGGAGAAAAATGTGGTGGAAAGTGCTTTGGAAAAAACAATTTCCCTAAAGCTCAGAAAGCCAAATGTCAGCCATTCAGTAAAAGAGTACAGACCGAAGAGGAAAGGGTTTGCTAAGTAGGACACAGGGCGACAAGCATAGGCTAAAGCAGGGCCTGGCCTGAGAGGAGAAGAATGTGGATGCCAAGTCTTGGCAGAGCCTGAACCAGGTGTCAGAGAAATAGCCAGATGAAGAAAGAGCAAAGACGTGAATGAACAAAGAAAAGTAGACATATCATTCATAGAGATGTTAAATGGAGCTCTTTGGAAACATATGATTTTTTTTTACATTACCACTTGGACATTCTTTGAAACCACTACCTGTTGTTTGCTTGATTGGACGTTCAAAAGGCACCGAAGTCTTTTAAGATCTGAATAGTCCCTAGGAGAGAGAATAATACAATGTGAACCCACAGAAGGCTCCAGGTGAACAAGATCATGTTACCCACCGATGGCATTGCCACTCGGAGGCCTACTTTTATAAACCAAAATGTATACACACACTAAACGTTTTCTTTAGAATGCTAGATATGACCAGATGTTTCAGTTGAACAGTATAACTCTGAATAGTAGCTGTCGAGAGTCTTCTCTATTTCTGAAAAAGCCATTAAATCTGTTCAATAGCCACTGCCTGAGTTAATAATTAGTAAACACACAGTAGGGAGTTACCTGGTGGTGAGTTCTTGCTGTTTTTTATCAGTTGATTTTTCTGTGGTCTTCACCTTTTTGTCTTGATCAGGCATTGTAAAACATCAGTGCGCCTGAATTAACATCGCATTCCTTTCAAAGTAAACCAGAAGGAAAACTTTGGTTGGGTTCTGTACACCAAAACATTCTCGGTCAATACAGGCAAAATCCTCTTATAACATCTATTTAAACATGGAAAACCTAGATTTAGTTCTAATACAATAATAAAGGTGTTCATATGAATATCATTTACTATTTATCATTCAAAGGACATTGGGAACATTTAGGGTATGCTTTACCCTCATTCAAAAGGTAAGTATGGGTTCACCAATAGAAAAAGAACAATTTGTTTGCTTTTATTTTTCTTAGTCAATTTCTAATGCAATTATTTTAGTTTTCAGAATAGACACAGAAAGTTAAAGATACCCATACTTTCAATTACATAACAAATATAAAATTGTGTCCTGTGGGTTTAATTTGACTGTATGTAAAATTTTCCAACTGTGCTTCAATGCCACAGTCTGACTTCAGTGTGTTGTCCAGGCATGAAAAAGTAGGCATTATTGTCTTATAAAAGCATGCTTCAATGTATTGTGAAATCCATGGTCAAAATCCAAGTGTTTCAAAAGCATTTAGAGGCAAAAGGAATGTTCCAATGGGCATTTCACTTCCACTGAATCCAGTGAAATTTAATTTTGTGAAATGCTCAAAGGCAGTTTAAGGATTAAAAAAATGATTTTCCCAATGTATTTGTCATATGCTTGGCAAATAGCTAGGCTAAAATTAAGAGCCAGGGACCAAGTCTCTCATCACAGAAGCACAACCAGAAAAGGTACAATATAAATACTTAAGGATTGTACCTAGGATATAACACCACCTCTTTCATTCAACAAATATTTATTGAATGTTTACTATACCTGCTCTCAGACTGAAAACTGCTAAAAGGTAAAGGAAGCTATCACAGGTATGCATTTCCATCACAAGCAAAAAACAAACAAAAACCCAATCATGAACTTTAAAATGTGTTTGTGAGGTGTGCGGATGGAGACTTAGCATCTGTTTTTACTCTAAAAGAAAGGAAGAGGAGGAGGAAGGGAGAGAAGGGGAGGTGAAAAGAATGGAGGGTCTGTATATTACTGCTAAAAAGCAAAAGACACACGTGTTTTTAATATGCAAATACAAAAATGCCCCATAAGTTCTAAGGCAAATGGAAATCCATTCAAAATAAATAGAATCTGACTTTGCTTTTCCCTCAAAGACAGAAGAAAAACTCTACATAGCCACACTGTCCTGCTGTTGGCATCAAATTCCTGCTCAAACTAAAGCTGCAGACTGGTTTAGAAGCAGAAACTGAAAGCCACAATGACAAGCACAGGAGAGCATATGGAAAAGCTCACAGGCTTCTTCTGCTAGAAGGGGATGGTATTTGCCACGATCACACCCTGCTAAACACCTTGTCTTATTCTCTTGCTTAATTTACATAATTGTATTGACCAAGTGTGTGAACGGGAAATCATGATCTAATCGTATATCAGTTTGAGATCAGTATGTACTCTGTGAGCTGGAAGACTGAATATAGATAACTCTTTGGAAATGTTTCACTTAATTAAACAGTAAACAAATTCACCGGTATCCGCAGAAACAGACAACTGCTTTTAGGATAAGACACAACATCCTTTCTGTTTAATGGCTGCTCCAATGGAGATATCCTGAAAAAAGGTTTGAGGAGTTGGGAATGCTTTAAAATATGTAACCTAATCCCATTTTAAATCAACAAAAATGAACATTATTTTGGTTATTTTTTCAAGACACTATATACACTATAATACAAAATGGGAGATGGTGGAAGGGGGGTAGGAAGGGCAGGCCATATCTTACGTCAAGTTGCCCAAAGGCGGACAATGTATTAAGAAAGTATTCCCAACAGAGGTCAGGCAAGGGTGTTAATGCCAAGGCTCTCTGGAGGGTGGCTTTAGTCTAAGTCCATGGAGGAATGCTGCAGTGTAGATTAGTCCTCAGAGTTGTCTAAATTGAGAGAAGTGAGAGCCTGGCTCTCATATTCCCTTAGCCTTCAGTCATAACTCCCCAGGCATTCCTATCTCATGGTAAAGTGACTCCAAGTCACTTAGAGGCAGTCCCCTAAAAAAGGCATACAAAATCTAGCTGTTGAAGCCAATACCAGAACATGCAGTCCCAAGGAATGGGAGAGGCTCTGGGCAGAGTGCCCACATGTATGCACTATCATCACCGACTCCATGTGGAAGAGCTGCAGATAATGAAGGTAAAAGATCATAGGTGAGTGTTGAACAATGAGAACACACGGACACAGGAGGGGAGCACTACACACTGGGGTCTGTGGGGGGGGGAAGGAGAGGGACAGCAGGGGGTGGGGAGTTGGGAAGAGATAGCATGGGGAGAAATGCCAGATATAGGTGATGGGGAGGAAGGCAGCAAATCACACTGCCACGTGTGTACCTATGCAATAATCTTGCATGTTCTTCACATGTACCCCAAAACCTAAAATGCAATAAATAAATAAATAAAGATGGGGGGGGAAAGATCTTTGCTATAGATACAAACTAAGCAAAGCCTACTGCATTAGCTTCCAACTACTGAGTTGTATTTCCCTCTTTCTTTGCTTGACCTCCCCAGATGTTGGTATGATCTCGTGTCCTAGCAGCTCAGGCCCTGGCTTGCTTCTGTTCTCTATCTGGCCCCTCTCCCAGGGATCTCTTGCAGTCCTGTGGTTTTACATACCATCAGCAATTCTAAATTTATAAGTTCAGCCCTTACCCCACTGTGACCTCCTAAATTCACAAAGTCACCATATGGATATCTAATAAGCATCCCAGATTTAACATACCCTAAACAGAACTCTTGACTCCTACTCCCTAGTACCAAATGCCCCTAGTGCTCCTCATCTTGGTAACTGGTACCACACTGGCTCTCTAGACAAAAGCTCTCTAGGGGACATTCTTGGCTCCTCTCTTTCCTCTACCTCCCATATTTAAGCCACCAGCAAAGCAAGTTAGCTTTTCCTTCTCTCCACTCTCCCTGCTAACACCCTACTTCAAGCCACCATCTTCTCTCCCTGAATGACTGCCACAATCCTCTCAGCAGTCTCTCTGCTTCCACCCTTGCTCCTCTACATCCTCAGGAACCCCAGGCAATGCTTTAACATGTAAATCGGATCATACCCGTCTGTGGCTTACAACCTTCCTGTGGCCCCCTATTGGACTTGGCTTTTTCCATGACTTTCACTGCTCTGAGCTTGCCTCCTCTCCTCTCGCTCTTGCTTCCTCCGCTTCAGCCATGTTGGCTTTCTAGAGAGAAACATGAACCCATGAACGTGCCAACTGCTATGGTTTGAATGTCTGGCCTCTCCAAAATTCATGCTGCAATTTAATTGCCACTGAAACAGTATTAACAGGTAGGACCTTTGAGAGATAATTGAGCCATGAAAGTCTGTCCTCATGAATGGGTTGAGTACATTTTACAAAGGGCTTCCAGGAATGAGTTCTCTCTCTTTGCTCTTCTGCCATGTAAGAAAACATGTGACTTCCTTCCAGAGAATGCAGTGTTCAAGGTGCCATCTTGGAAGCAGTGACTGGGCACTTACCAGACACCAAGCCTACTAGCACCTTGATCTTGGATTTCCCAGCCTTCAGAACTGTTCTTTATAAATTACCTAGTCTGCCAGGCATGATTGTTCACACCTGTATTCCTAACACCTTGGGAGGCTGAAGTGGAAGGATCGCTTGAGGTCAAGAGTATGAAACCACCCTGGGCTGGTAGAGACTCCATCTCTACAAAAAAGTTAAAAATAAGCCAAGTGTGGTGGCATGTACCTATAGTGC